ATAGAGATTCTTTAAAAGCGGGAATCTTTAAAATGGGGAATCTTTAAAAGTGGGAATCTTTAAAATGAGGAATCTTTAAAATGACGAATCTTTAAAGTGGGGAATCTTTCCTGAAAAGAGAGCGAGAATCTTTCAGTTCCGCACCAGAAGCTATTTATTATGTCACATGTATCAACTGGACAGGTACAAATACAGTTGTGAAATGTATTCATTGTAATTAAGTTGCATGCTAAAGCACATCGGTTTAGCGGGCTAGTGGAGCAGTTCAAATCTCGATTCTTACTCTTTGAGATCTGTACAGGCCCACACATGATCCCGGCCCGCAAATTATCCCCGTACCGAAAATGATCCCGGACCGGAAATGGTCGCCTTGCCATAACATTTGGAAGTGCGGTCTCAGGAATTTGGACAGTGAATTTAAAATTTACGCGATCGTTTTTTTATATTGCTGTGAAACTGAGCTTGGATTTGATTCTTAAAGGTCAATTTTGTACTGAACTAATCACAGTAAAGTTCGAGAACACCTCAAAACCACAACCAATAGGCCACGTTCGATATATCAATATTCTAACATCGATCCGAGGCTTTCGAGTCAAAATTGCAAATTTTTAAGTTTCCTTCGTCTTTCAATTCCCAAAAGAGACTTGGATACAAAGAACACACCACCAAACATAAAAGTTTGTCCTGAAAGTGTCTGAAAGCCTAACGAACGTGGCCAAAAACCGCTGTTGTTTGCGGCTTAGTTTTCTCACGCTTACAATAATAATCCTTAAATATTTCTGGTATGTACGGTTTTCTGAGTTTCACAGTAATAACACAATATCTTGATACAACAGTTACTATATGAAACGCAAGAAAATGTGCAATATGATTTGAATGCAAATTTTACAACTTTGAAAATGGTATCCAACGTCACGAATTCCTGTGTTTGAAAATTTTAGTTAAGCTAGATCCTTCCCTGAATGACTTTATTGGGCCCGGGCCTGAAATGTGTGATAACACGGGATGTTCACTATATCCTGAAATTTGGATACAACTGAGAATTCCCAAGTGGATTGACTACATTTTTACTACGGTCACTAGCACGAAGGAATCTTAGGCTCTTTCGTGGGAGCCCGTGGCTATCTAGGACGCAAGTATAAGAAGTATACAGGGAAAAATTCTGAGCGGTTAAATTAGATGGTAGAAGCATCTTCGAAGGTTCATGTTTCTTTTTGCAGTGCTTTTCCTAAACGAAAAATTTCTGCAGTCAACACATGTCAATTTAGTATTTTGGACAGCATGTTAAACGTTTTTTATTGCTGCTTTTATGCCTGAGGTACTTGTCTTTTCTTCACCTAGGACAATTGAGAAAATATGTATCCATCCATAGACTTTTCATGGAGTCCACGCCATTCCTAACTTTTGCGGTAGACTCAGTTCCGATCCCGGGATCATTTGCGGTACAATTTGGGGATCATTTGCGGTTCGGGGATCATTTGCGGGCCGGGATCATTTGCAAGCCTGTACAGATCTGCTACACCGATCGACAGAAGAATCGAACCGCCTGGATTCATTTTAACTCCGGACTGTGACTTTTTTAAATTGAGTTCCGCAGCGATAGATATTTGTCCTAGCCTTAACATGTGCTAATGACTTAACGACAGATATATAGCAAGAAAAACACATTTTTTTTATCTAATCGATGAATCAGCAGTCTCGCTGGTGCGACCCTAAATCTGGTTTTCATATGACGTCACTAAAATTCAAACTACAAAAGTCCAACAAAGTTTTGATCCGCCGGAGTATTTATTTTCATGATGTATAAGACAGGCTGAAAACGAATATACATACAAATTTTCGCTCCGAATGGGTTCTTGGTTTTGTGATACACTACGCTTGAATTTCTAAGCTTTTGCGTGAACGGCATTTACATGACGCCGAGAGAGTTGTCATGTTGGTTAAAAAGTGACTTACTTCGGGGAATTTGACTATCTGAACAGTTCATGTATTAGAAAAAGTATTATTTTAATGTTTTTTAGTTCCTCGAAAGATAAATTCACGCTTTTGTAACAAAACTGAGTGACCGATGCTTCTGTTGGTTTCCGGCCGCCATGTTGGTGCCCATCCGGATGGGCACCAGCATGGTGTCTCCATAAAAATCTCTATAAATTTGGGAAAAAATTTCGCCGCATATCTTGCATAAGAAAAATTGCTGTGACCTGAATCTTGGCGAGAGTCTTTGCATGTTTATCTTCTTTCTTTTCCCAGATTCTGGACTTCATCTATTGAACGGTTTTGGATTTCTTATTTTGATCTATTTCGAATGGCATGACACTGAAAACCAGCAATACAGTAATTAGAACGATGCAGCGGCGGTGCTCTGTGACGTAATTGTATTAGCTTAATTTTTAAGCTAGGAGTTGAGGAGAATTTACTACTCCATGACAACATTAGATGCTATCTGACTTACAAACTCTCATCTGTCGGTTGTTAGAGATTTTGGCAGGAATTTCGCGTATAGTCCGTCATTGTGTGCTTCATGATACCTCTTTCTACGCAATGCGGTCTTGCGAAGACAATTTTACAGTGCCCATTGCTTTCACTTTAAAGAAAAAAAGAATCGGTCGCTTTGAAGGTCTTCCACAGTTTAAGTGGAATGATCTCGGCGAACAAAATGCGATAGGGCAAGGCTCGTTAGGAGATGTTTTTATTTTCCCCATTTTAAAGATTCCCGCTTTTAGAGATTCCCCATTTTAACGATACCCGCTTTTAAAGAATCCCCATTTTAAAGATTCCCCGTTCTCCGTTTACCGTTCACCATTCGGCCAGTCCTATTTCCCGATTCCCCGTTCCTCGTTTTAAAGATAGCCGTGATTTAATAGTTCATTACACAATTAAACGTTCTGAATCGAATCAAAGTGTTCACGGTTTTCTGAGTTTCACAGTAATCAACGACTGACGAACGGTGCATAGTAAAATTCGTTTTTTAAATGCAAAAGGCTCAGGGTATCCAGTCGATGACGATCGATACTAATCAACATCAATTAACTAATTTTATGTGTTGATATCGATTGATCGATTGCTTTTCCGATCATCGATTTCCACCCATTGGACATCCCGGGAAAGGTGACGAAACTTGATCCGAACCGCGCGTCTTTGGTCTCTCTTCCTGTCAAGTTTCTGTTTTACTGATACATTTTGATTACTATTTGCCAAAATAAGCATTTTGTGAAAAAAAAGTGTTGTACCCGAGGAAAAAAAAAACAAAAACAAAAAAAAAAACAGGTGTCATATTACACCCCTACCTCCCCATAACGGCCACCTCTACAACAAGCACTTTCCTCTGTCCTGACGGTGGCCGTTTCGGAGAGGTTCGACTGTATACTTCTCTAACTTTACCGTTTCAACAATTTGACTAGAAAGCCGTCTTACTATACTCAAAACGACGCTAAGAGAAACTTGTTTAAAAGGCCAAGCTAGATTGGTTATAGGTTTAATGTAACGCGGAATGCTACCTAAGTGCTTTTTGATAAAATGCATAGCCTAAAAACTGATTTATACAATAATGATGTCACACTTCTGGAAAGTGCTGGGGATCCCATGTGGCCATTGCTTGAAAATCGTCATGTTGATTTAACTGTAAAAATAAAGCGAGATATATGGAGAGTCACTTTCGATCGATCTCCTTGAGCTTTCTATGGTGAACTATCATAAAAATTAAAGTAGTGAGAAAAATCCGCCAATAAAGCTTAAAGCATCGAGTGGCGACAACAAGTGCACTCGAGTAGGACGTATCTGTTAGTTTAGAGGACCATCTATTAGTATTAGAGGAGCTGGGATGACACAGTGGTGAGATCATCAATGTTGTGTCATATGTGGGTTGAGTTTGCTGTTGGTTCTTGCATTACTCTATTAGTTACAGGGGAGCAGGGATGACGCAGTGGTGAGAGCGCTCGCCTCCGATCAGTTGTTGTGCCTTTTGTGGGTTGAGTTGTTGTTGATTCTTACATTGCTCCGAGGGTTTTTCTCCCTCCGCTAAAACCAACACCTCAAATAGGCCATTTTCGTATTCTCGGTATTGGACTGGAACTAGTTTGCAATTGAGGCTCATGCAAGGGTATGTCATGAAAAATATATAAATGTCATTTGCATTTGAAAAGACTCCTCTGCATTAGCCTCAGTTGCAAGCTAGTTCCAGTCCAATACCGAGAATTCGAAATTCGACTAGGATAGAGGACTCGCGTGAAAACCAGCTAAGGTTAATGTCGCCCCCTCTCTAAATATTGTAAAACCTTTGGTGATGGGGATAAATGAACAATAGCCTCCATTTGACGCGAAAATAAGCTCGGATATTTCTCCGCGGACATTGTCTGTTCCGCGAAGCTTACAGTTTTCCTCGAGCTACGCTCTCGGAAAACTGTTGTCTTCTCGGAACAGATAATGTCCAGTGACAAATATCCGAGCATATTTTCGCGACAAATAAAGGCTATTGTTCATTTATCCCCATCACCAAAGGTTTTACAATATTTAGAGAGGAGGCGACATTAACCTTACCTGGTTTTCACGCGAGTCCTCTATCCTAGTCGAATTTCGTAATCTCGGTATTGGCGTTTATTATCCAAATATTTTTCGCAACACACGTATATATGAAACTTTGGGGAATATCACTCGTATATTCCCCAGTTTTAGCTGAGGAAAATTTCGTCACGTGACGCGTTTAAACCAATCACGAGCGAGCGAAAAGAGTTGATGGATTATTATAAATAACATCATCTATCTGATATCAATCAAGTGGAAACTGACGGTGGGTCCTGTGTGACTACAACTGCTTTGAGTAAATCTGCTAAATAGACCATTTTACAGGAGTGTGCGTAGAAATCAGGACACAAACAAAGCTACCATCTTCAATGCCAGTATGAAATCAGTTCTCCTCTCTGGATCTGAGACGTGGAGGCGGACAAGAATTTCACTCCAGAAGATCCAGACTTTCATCTTTAATATTTGGAGGCCTGAGAAAATTCGCCGTGAGGAGCTTTGGCAGCGAGGGGAACAACAACCGGTAGGTAAACAGATTTTGAGAAGAAAATGGGGCTGGATTGGTCACACCCTGCAGAAAGCATCAAACAACATCACCCGGCAGGCTCTGAGGTGGAATGCCCGAAGGAAGGGATCGAGGGGACGGGACACTGATGCGGAACTGAAGCTGATAGGATACAACTGGAAAGAAGCTGAACCAAAAGCCCAAGTTCGAGTTTGCTAGCGTGGGGTTGTCGATGGCCTATGTTCCACTTGGAGCGATGGGCTTAAGTAAGCAAGTAAGCTTAGTGACCTGGCCTTTGATTGCGAGCGAGGCTGTAGGTGACCTTGTTTTGATAAAGACCTTACTGCTTCAGTGTTGTGTAAATCAAGTTAGTTCTTATGCTAACTAGTTGGCATTCACGAGAAATAACATACAAACTGTGGTGATAAACATGACAATGAAACGCATTGTTGGAAAACAAAAATAAAACTATATCATTTAACTTGACGTTTCGTATGTTTCGACGTACATCTTCAGAAGTGACGGCTAAGAATAGAAGTAATAAGTAAATTTTAAATTTAGGATAAGTACCTTATCAACAATAACATTGACGGAAGCTGAAAAAAATTTGCATATTAAAACAAACTAATAAACTAATAGATAAAGCTTTTTGCTACTAACATTATCATTTAGGGCAGGTTTCAATTCCCTAACTAGCAGAGTCTCCTTTATCTTGTAATGTGTATCTGACCGACCTTTGGCTAATATGTCAAAGTGTTCCCATTTTAAGTTGTGACGAGTTGATGAGACGTGTTCCCAAATGTCAAAAGTTGCTTATCAGGCTAGTTATTGGGACTTTCAGGATTTCTGTATTGGAAAAACAAAACGTAGATTGTATGACAGAAAAACTGAACATTTAAAAGCGATCACGGGTAGCTGTCATGCATCTGTTATCGCACACCACGTCACGCCAACTTTGAGAAAAGCAGAGAGGTCTGTATCAAGGCAAGGTCACCTCAAGCCACGCTTTTATTCATGGCCTTTTTTAAAACGACTTTAGAGCCGCGGACTTCTCGGAACAAATGGCTATCTCGTTACGTCACGTATGTAGTGTTTGCTATCACTGTTGCGAAAAGCACAGCCGACACTTTCCGATGCCAGTGCGTAAGTAATGTAATTCGGTGAATAATGAATACCGAAAAATTTAATCCTGTTGTAAAGAACTGAGTCCATTTCTCCATCCCTTTACTCGCGTTTCAAGACCTTTCAACAAAGATTGAAGATCCATATTGTGAAAGCGCTTTTAAAAATTCCATAGATTGAAGTGAATGCTACATTGTTATGCGACAGAAACGTTATTATGTTCCTCTGGCAGCTTTTGCAATCTTGTTGATTGGATAATTATCATATTTATAAAGGTGCACCCATAACGATGGCAGGACTGTTCGAGGATGATTTCCAGTTCGTACTGCGCAGTCTCAGCACACCTTTGTTTGTGAGTCTCACTCGATGGAATGCAAATCGATGTTATTCGTTACGGACCGCTTACCTTATCTTTGAGGCATTTTAAGTTCTTTTTCGAACAGTTTGTTTCAGTTTTAAAGCTACGAAGTAGTGTCAGCAAGTGATGTCAGAAAGAACGAAGCACAAAGCTTCGCATTCATGGTGGCGGTTGACATGAAACTATGAATTTACGTCATATTAGGGGTTGTGAAATGTTATATTTTGTGACGTCTTACTCAAAACATAAAAACGTAAACAAGGTTAATACCGTTTATGATTTGGCGCCTACTGCCCTGTCGAAACAAGAAACTAATAGACGAATAGGCGTATCTATCCATTTCTCCGTTATGTCAGTCTGTGCTTCTCTCTATCCATCAGTCTGTGCCCGTTTGTCTGTCTTTCTGTCTGCCTTTCTCTCTCTCTCTCTCTGGTTTGAAAATTACGGTAAACGGACATTGAGACGGATAAGTAATTTAACTGTTTCATTTCAAATCCAGAATAGGTTTTCTGTGACTATACGGTTTTCATAAATTGTCTGTGTGTGTGCAAATACCCAGTGTAGAGGTTAATTGTAAATTGACGTAAACGTACATACCTGCAATCATATTTAACGGAAAACCCTGCGTCGCGTATTAGTGTAGTGTCTGTGCCATCATAGCGTTGTTGACCTCTTAGACATCGAGCTTCACCGTTCTCAATCCCTGTGTAAGTGCTATACAATTCGCTGTCCGAATAAGGGATGCATAGCCATTTCTCTTGTCCTTTAGTGGGGGGGAAGGAACCAGGACATTAGCCTTTATTTGACTGGGGTTTATCCAAGTCTGCATCCGTTTGCGTTAGGATGCAAGTTGCTTTTGACGTCATTGGCGTCAGAAGTAGGGCCGTGTGGTCATTTTGTCTTGGGCACCTGAACTGAAGGCACACAACTTTATCTGATCCTGACGTAGCTGCCTTTGGCATCCTAAGGTGAAAACCATATATACCAGTGTATGTTTGGTCATCCTTTTTGTAGCTAGCCGCCATAAATAGGACATTAGTCCCACTTATTGTGACTTTAATAAAGCATGTCTCTAAAGATAGATCAGACAACCAATCAGTTATCGGGTCCGGCAAACTAAGCAATTCGTATTCCTCGGAGGGAGTTTGGGGCTTAACAAAGACAAACTGGCTGCCTTCTGGTAGCGAATTTCCATTATTCAGAGATTGTCTACACTCTGTCTGTTCCCGTCCATAATATCAATCATCGAAGTAAATAGGCCCCCTCCTACTTACGAGGGTGCTATTAAATTCATAAGAACTAATAGTTACACCGTTCTCGTCTGTGATCGATTTTACATCACCTTTAACGTGCTGAAAGGTCGTGCTAAAATCCTGGAGAGCGGGATCGGGATCGTAATACTCGAAGTTCTTTTCAGCTTGAAGGTAGTACTCCTTGTCTTTCCATATCGGCATGCAGACAACACCATTATTTGTAATGCGCTCTACGTACCCTTTGTGATCTTTGCGAATAGCTGTTATCATGACGCCACTTTCTTCTGTATCAGTAGTTACTCTTAAACCTACGATCCTCGACGGCCAATCAAGGTTAATATATTCTTGTGCTATGGATGGTGTCACACTTCCAGCAAGAAAGATACGATTTGAACGCTTTCTTCTTCTGTTGCTCCCATCTTCAGGAATAAAATCACCAGTCTCCCTCCAACGACCCGTTTTCCTGTCGAGCCAGTAAAGTTTTACTGAGGCATTTCCATCGGACACAGTTATATTTAGCTTTTCCGGATCTAAATACACTTTCATGGGTTTAGACATAGCCAGGGGTTTTCCATTGTCATCTTCTAAATTCAGCTTTATCATGCCGTACGTTTCTAACATCTCTACCTCGCCATCTTCATTCATGGTAGTAAAATCTCCCGGAGCTGTCAGAATGTCAGATTGGTTACGAGGATCGGTGACACTGACTGTGACTTTTGCATTTCCACTGAAAACAGAACCATCTTGAGTCAAGAGGGAATTTTCCGGTATTTCAAGGTCAGCAAAACTATCTGACTCGCCACCTAACGGCAATTCTAATGGTTCTGAGGCATTAAAAGTGATAGGCTTTGGTTTTTCTCTTAGTTTCACTCGATACGTGACTGTCTGTCCTTCATTTAAGTTAAAAATTTTGTCTTCTTCTTGAAATTTTTTGATAATCCGATCTCTAAAAGTCACAATCACCCTTTTCGTTTTTTTTGGAACAGCGAAAGAAAAGTCGCCATTTGCATCGGTTCTATCAACCAGTTCTCCAGCAAATATTAGTTCCACTAAAATGGCTGCGCTGTCATCTTGACCTATAACTTTACCTCGTATCATCGTTTGTTTTTCTATGCATTTTCCACACCCACAAGTTTTAATTATGGAGAGATTGAACGATACAAGGGCCCTACACTGAACTAGAACACTGTCATACGAGCGAGGCCCACAGCATAGGGAAGGTTCCGTGCATGATGAAGAATTGAAAGTTGTATTTTCCGACACGCATGCAGCAGGTTTACACTCTCCAACGTCTACGCTCGTGGTGTTTTTGCCATCAATAGTGCAACCGGTAGGCAATGTCTCGTTCTTGGAAATAGGTGTTGGAGAGCAAGAGTCCGCAGATTTTTCTGAAAACAAAAAAAGATAAAATGCTTTTCTCTATGAATTTATCACAGGCATCCCAAGCTCAAGTCTTAAGAAAAGCGAAGAATTAATTCTCGGACACGTACGTATTTATTCATGGCAGACACGAAAGCGTCACGTGTTGTGTGAGTCCCGGGTGGAAAGAACCCTGGTGAGTTTGATCTGAAGCGGTGTTAGGCTACGAGAAGAACCGTTGAGAATTTGAACGCCCGATGGGGGAGGACATCCCATATAACAAAGACGGGGAGTGCTTGACAAAAATTTTGAAAAGAACCACTAAGAGGTACAAGATCCTGATTCGTAGGCGTGGCTTGAAATATTTTTCACCCCTTAGAGATACCAATTCTAAAACAACACAACATCATTTTGGCTCAATACCCTAAAGGTACCGCGAAAGTTCCTGCGGTGGAACCTTGTTCTAGGTTCGTCCTCCTTTTTGAAAGAAAATATATAATTCTGATATGGTAAGCCCTGCCCTTTTTATGTGGAAATGACTCGTCGTCGATCTTGCATTTCGGTTAAGGTTTATAAGATTTGTAAGGGTTAAGTAATGTAGCGTGCGTAGTCTACCGACATGAAATGTAAACCAAGTTTTACACTGAGAGGGCTTATAAAAATATGACGTTTATACTTAGGGAGGAGGTGGGTTGAGATTCAACTGATGACACTAACAGCATCGCTAAAAATGCGAAACAAAACGATTCGTTTCTTACCCAATACTATCAACTCAGCTGAAGCTGAAAATTCTGAACCAAACTGATTTGTTACGCGACAACGGAAACTTCCAGTCAGACCAGTCACGTCAGGAATTTCAAGAGTATTGCTATAGTTGAACAAGTCCTTGTCGATGATGTTATTGTCCTTAAACCTAGAAAAAGTGTAAAAGATTGAGTAGCTGCTCTTAATTCATATTTGAACTTTTAACAATTAGACGACGAGACTGATCGAGTTGCCATGTTGTGAGCGAAAAGTCAACGAGGCTAAGCTAATCAGATCGCGACACGGACTTGTAAGGTCATAACATCAGCCTCTCGGCTAACGGATCCCATGTAAAAGGTAACTACAGTGAAACCTGTATTAAGCGGACAGCTTTGGGACCCTCACTAGTGCCCGCTTAACACAGGGTGTCCGCTCAAAACAGGTTCTAATATGTTGTTCAATAATAGTTAATTATTAACCCTTTTATAGCACAGTGTAACCCAGTGTAAGATCAAGGACTAGCTAAGACTGCTCGTAGTACAATGTCCAGTCAATCAAAGCATCAATCTGGAATAATCTCTTAGCTTTAAAACGATATCGCTGAACAATGCTAAGGAGTAAGTCTCAGTTGAAGTGATTGACTGTCCTACAAGGGTAACAAAGCTTAGTGCTACACTTATTGACTTGATTGTGACGAACAACCCGCACAATATTGTCAAACAGGCAGCGGTCCCCTTCAGTTTAAGCGATCATGATCTCGTTTTGTGCGTTAGTAAAATAAACGCTCTTAACTATGCACCCAAAATAATTGAATGCAGAGACTATGGAAATTACTCGCCTGAGGAGTTTTGTGAAAGCTTGAGCCAAATCAATTGGGACTCTGTCAGAAACGCTTCTGACGTAAACGATGCCTTGGATTTCTTTAATGTCAATTTTAAAGAGCGGTGTGATCTGCACGCACCTTTCCTTTGATTCAAAAGAAAGTCCGGGGTGTTAACTACCCATGGTTGACACATGAAATACAAATAAAGAGATGGATTGGAGTGCCTTCAGGGGATTGAGAAAAAAAAGCCAACTACAATTGGAACCTTATCCAGGAAAACATTGCTGACTCAAAATCTTTTTGGAGAGCTGCGAAAACCAAAACCGTCCATGTCTTCCATCAAAGTCGATGGCAATCTCAAGACAGATAAGAATGCCATTGCTAAAGGTTTTAATTAATTACTTCTTCGTCTCAATTGTTAAGACAATCAGTGAAAAATTATCTCAAGAATCGTCTATATCTTGCCGACAGCAGTCACCGTTGCTAAGTACCAGTCGCGGATGTAGGGGAGGGGACCGGGGACCCCGCCCTCCCCCC